TTAAGTACATCCCCCCGCTGGTTACAATTTCTACTACCCCACACTGTGTGGTGAGCATTTGCATCACAGCCGAAGATGAATCTACAGCTTGAACTACAGTGGGCCCTAGTAATGTCAGCTAATGGATCCTTCTCCTCATACGGGAGATAGGCTGAAGCTATAACAAAATCAGAGATTGTATTATTGTCATAGAGTTTTAGCTTTATACTAAACATATACTACACTACTATAAAAACACCATTCTTAAGATTGATTCTTAATATTCTGTATGAAAATAGTTTTTTTCTTTTGAATCAAAAGTAGAAGTGAAAAGCTTTTAACTTTCTAACATAATATTAAGCTTAATTTGTTTAAATTTAAGCATTTCTTTTAATTCTTCGAAACTTTTTTATTAATCTTTTTTGTTTTTTTCTTCGTCTGATTTCTTCCATTTTATCCACCTTCGTCTGGGCGAAATGCCATCCCTGATATAATACATGAATTATAAAATTATATTGCAATTTTTAATAAAATTTATAATTGGATTTAATAATTCAACAGATTAAAATAATAGGCTAGGATGGATTATTTGTTTATAAGTGAATCTGAAATTCCAATCAGAATATCAAATGTAAAATATTAATGTTAACTTCAAAACTCATTTTTTGAAGTAAATTTTATTTTGTTTAAGTCTACACAAGGCGTTATATGAAAGCTAAACATAAAAATTCAAGCAAATCGAATCGATTGCACAGAAATATCGCTTTCAATGTAGAGAGTGTCAAAACGAGAAAGGGGCCACAAGCGGTGTTTAAACTCGATGAAGTGTTGCCCATTCACTGCAACCATGTACTGGTCCTTGGTGACACGTATCATCATGTCGAAACGGCAGTCGGAACTGAAAGGAAAGGATGGAGACTGTTTTTCTTCGTGTTGCCAAGAGTTGCATGTACGTGTGTTTCTAACAATTGTTCGGTTAAAGAAGCGCACATCAAAGTGAAATGCAATGTCCGGAGGATTGTTGGGATCAGTTCCTGCCTGTAGATTAATTGTGAATCTAAAAAAACAGAGAAAAACAAACAATGTTTCTTTGCAGTCAGNCAAGACTCTTGTAAGATTACAAAAATTGAAAATGTATTACGAACATTAACGGGAAAATGGCCGTCCGCGCGGACGTCGGATTCGAGAAATTCGTTGTCCGCGGAGAATTTTTGACCGTCGAGGACATGCGGACGGGCTGTTTTTCGAGCCCTGATTTGTTTAAATTTAAGCATTTCTTTTAATATTTCCAAACTTTTTTATTAATCCATTTTGTTTTTTTCTTCATCTGATTTCTTCCATTTTATCCACCTCCGTCTGGGCGAAATGCCATCCCTGATATAATACATGAATTATAAAATTATATTGCAATTTTTAATAAAATTTATAATTGGATTTAATAATTCAACAGATTAAAATAATAGGCTAGGATGGATTATTTGTTTATAAGTGAATCTGAAATTCCAATCAGAATATCAAATGTAAAATATTAATGTTAACTTCAAAACTCATTTTTTGAAGTAAATTTTATTTTGTTTAAGTCTACACAAGGCGTTATATGAAAGCTAAACATAAAAATTCAAGCAAATCGAATCGATTGCACAGAAATATCGCTTTCAATGTAGAGAGTGTCAAAACGAGAAAGGGGCCACAAGCGGTGTTTAAACTCGATGAAGTGTTGCCCATTCACTGCAACCATGTACTGGTCCTTGGTGACACGTATCATCATGTCGAAACGGCAGTCGGAACTGAAAGGAAAGGATGGAGACTGTTTTTCTTCGTGTTGCCAAGAGTTGCATGTACGTGTGTTTCTAACAATTGTTCGGTTAAAGAAGCGCACATCAAAGTGAAATGCAATGTCCGGAGGATTGTTGGGATCAGTTCCTGTCTGTAGATTAATTGTGAATCTAAAAAAACAGAGAAAACAAACAATGTTTCTTTGCAGTCAGACAATGTGAAAACAATTCCAATACATAAGAAGTTTTTTTAACACTTTATAAGACCAAGAAAAATATAATTCCCATCGACTTCTTTAATTTTTAACAACTTCAGCACCGTGATTATATACATGGTTGAAAACGTCATGGGAAAATAGGACGACAGGTACAAGAATCAAAGAGACACAAGACTGAGATCCTCTGAAATATTTATTGGTCAAAAATATTTTATATTTTATTTTATAACCGTCATTGAACAGTCGGCTCAATTTGGGTTTACGACTCTAATGTTCGACTCCGTAGCCTTGCAATTTTGAACCAATCCAGTAGACAAGGAAACCCCTGGATCAGTACCCCCAGAGGTATTGATTTGTTGTGGGAACATGGAGGACTTTGCGACTAGACAGATTTAACGTGCATCAGTCATCACTTATTACACGGGGAATCTTCGGCAGACGGGGATCGAACCCACGAACGTTTGAACATGGGCCCAGTGCCCTACCAACCAGGCTATCCCGGCCTCAAAGATATTACATGTGCTGTGGTAGATGATAAGTGAAAATGTCGCCAAAGATAATCGAAATCTCTATTTTTGCCA